GTAGAGTACCAAGAAAACTTGATTGCACTTGGTGTGGATGATTCACTAGCTCAAGTATGTTCAGAGAGTGGTTCAATGGATCCTTTAATGAATGCATATGTTGAACGAATGCAAGCTACAACGAAGGTAATGACATGCACGTTTGACCTTTTCTGCTGGTTTTGGAGGCTTACAATTATAATAGTTCTTTCTGCTTACTGTAGTTGTTAATCCGCTTTGGTTGTAGAAATGGTACATGAATATCCTTGAGGCGGATAAGGTGCAACCACCTAAGAAAACAGAGGAAGGAAAATTATATACACCGGCTGCTGTAGATTTATTCAGAATACTTGGAGAGCAAGTGCAAATCGTCAGAGATAATAGCACCGATGTTATGCTATACAGGATTGCTTTGGCTATTATTCAGGCAAGTCAGAGAGGTTGCAAATACTGTTTTTTGGTTTCCCCTTATTTCTTTGTTTGGCTTTGAACTGAAAGGGTTTATAAGTTTGGAGATATTTCGTTTCCCTCCTCAGGTTTTTCATTGGCTAATACTCAGAAATTTGAAATCGTTCTTGCTTTCTTCTGGGACTGGTGTCAAAGTTAATGTTGAAGACTTTACCAGTTCCCAGCAATTTTTCCATATCCCACCTTAATGTCTAGTCCCATTTCCCTCATTTTCTTTCTATTTTCTACTTTCCCCCCTCTTCATTTGAAAGCTGCTTGTAAATTCCTGCAACAATCCATCCTTCATTTGTTGTCTAACTTTTATACCTTATATATTTTTGATTTACATTGTTTTACTTCAGGTTATGATCGATTTCCAAGCAGCTGAAAAGAAGAGAGTTGAAGAACCCGCTTCTGATATTGGTCTGGAACCTCTCTGCGCTATGGTATGTAAATTTTTTTTTGACTCTTTAAATGGCACTACTACCATTCTCACATTTTTAATAAATATTTATCTTTCCTAATAATTCCGACAGATAAACAACAACCTTCGCTGCTACGACCTTGCCATGGAGTTGAGTAATAGCACTTTAGAAGCTCTTCCACAGAACTACGCGGAGCAGGTAGTTCAAGTGCCATTTTCTGATCTGAATTTCCTTGCAATTCATTCTTTTGATCGAAAGTGTCAAATTCCACTGCGTCATGCCCAATCTCAGCCTCTATACTGCACATCTAAATCCGCCTGGACACTTGTTTGCATGATAAGAAAAGCTTTTCAAATGTGATGTTTCTGTCAGGTAAATTTTGAAGACACTTGCAAAGGTTTCTTGGAGGTGGCTAAGGTACGTCAAAGATTCTTATTTCTCCCTCAATCTATATGTAGTTCTTGCCTTTGTATTGTGTGGACTTGTAGTTGCCCAGATAGCTATTGAGATGAAATAGTTACCTGATGTTGCAAAAAGTTAAAACATTTATGTTGGATTTTACACAAGTGACATATGGTCTATTGATCGCAGGAAGCAGTGCATCAAACCGTTCGCGTTATATTTGAGGATCCAGGAGTTCAGGAATTACTTGTCAAGCTTTACCAGAAAGGTATCTACCATTCTGCACGGTTAATCCTATTTAGTTAACTTTCCATTGGTTTCCTGATTTCTAAGAGATATGGACTATTCTCATCCGCATTGATTTTCTACATTTGTCTCAATGTCAATAGTTCTGTTCTTTATAACACAAACTTTTAAGACTGTCATTCATCGTATCTGTTCCTTCCTCCTAACACAGCACTATCAACGTCTTATTTCTCAGCCAGATGACATATATACTTGATACGCGTTCTTGGCTTCTTGCTCCTATGGTTTTGTTCTTAACCTTGCTCTTTACTTTATAGAATGGTGCGAGGGGCAGGTTACTGAGTACCTCGTGGCAACTTTTGGTGATTATTTCACAGATGTAAAAATGTAAGTTTTTCAGTTCCCTATTGTATAACAGAACTTGTATCACCACAACTCTATTGAGGCATTGGTGGTGAATGGTGATGCAGGTATGTTGAAGAAAGATCATTTAGAAGATTTGTCGAAGCTTGTCTGGAAGAAACAGTCGTTGTTTATGTTGATCATCTCCTAACACAGGTTTCCCCATTTATTCTCCGGTATTTACCGTTCATATATCCATCAATATGCACTGAACCTTGGGGTTGACGCATGTAATCCCAGAAAAACTACATCAAGGAAGAAACTATTGAACGGATGAGGCTAGACGAGGAGGTTCTTATGGATTTCTTTAGGGAGTATATAAGTGCATCTGTAAGTTGGTTTTAGCACTTAAAACTCACTTTGATTGTGTAAGTTGGTTAATTTTGTACATCCATTTAAGTTTCTCCGATATCCCCTGGGATTGTGTTACAGAAAGTGGAGAGCAGAATCAGAATAATGAGTGATCTGAGAGAACTTGCATCCGCGGAGAGTCTTGATGCATTCACACTCGTGTACTCGAACATTCTTGAGCACCAGCCTGACTGCCCGGTAAATATAATATCAAATAAAACGAAGCCTTGTCTTAATTTTACAAGATCATTTGTTCTCAACACACATAATCTCTGATATAAAAATCGCAGGCCGACGTGGTGGAGAAGCTTGTTGGACTACGTGAAGGCATACCACGAAAGGACACAAAAGAGGTAAAAACACCGAGCTCTTAATTGCGAAATGGTTTATGGTGATGAAAACAGTTAGTTAACGTTTTGTTTGCGAACGAAGAACTCTAAATTTCGAAATGGTTTATGGTGATGAAAACAGGTGGTACAAGAGTGCAGAGAAATATATGAGAACACTCTTGTAGATGGTAACCCTCCAAAGACAGGCTTCGTGTTCCCGAGAGTCAAGTGCTTAGCTGCTTCCAAAGGATCACTCTGGCGAAAACTCACTTAGATCAACGTTCAGCGTTTGCGTTTTCCAGTATATGGCGTTTGCGTCCATGTCTTCTCTTTTTGCATGATATATTTCCTCTTTGTAAATTCTTCTATATCTTCTTTGATTTTGTCTCTGTTAGTTTTTTCTTTTTACCTCTTCCTGATCTGGAACGTTTAAAATGAATTTGTTTTTATTGATTTTAGATTTCATTGCATTTTTTTTTTTTTTTGAGAAAAGATTTCATTGCATTACTCTTGCATCTTCTTCAACTGTGTTTTGCTTAAAGATTATCTTATAGGAAAGCTTAAATATCATAGATTATTGCTATCATGATGAACATAACAGATATATGGAGTTTTAAATCGGTTTGTAAAATCAGTCATTGCATAACAGATATGTTAACCACTCACAAAATCCCATCAATAATTGTGAACATTATCTTGTAATGATTTTTTTTTTTCTTTTACTTTTTTTTTTCTAGAAACCTTTTTCATCATAATGAAAAGTCTCGTCCACCAAATGGGGCTAAGCATAGTGTGTGATTTTTATCGGGTAACAAAATACATTTGCTTTAAATTTGTTATTTTCTTGTTTTTTTACTTTCTGCACTACTCAATATGTTCATTGAATGGGATAATATTGTAAGAAAACATGCCATGCTACTCCACAGTGAAGTGGAAAGAAGAAAAGTTTATGTTAACTTGTATTGTGAAACAGTAGTACAAGTCATCGAGTGCATGCCATACTACTCCACAGTGGAACTTGGCCAAATTTTGTCTTCCCGTCTCTACAGTTTTGACGTAACTTCCACCAAAATTTTTGACAAAATTCAAATAAAGAGGCTTCTTTCAATTTCTTCCCTGCGAAAGTTACGTGTGAGTTGTGACAAAACAAAATAGCTAATAACTACGTGCTTTTTTTTTGTTGTAATGTAAAATTAGTATATTCATCAAAATTTTGTGACAAATGACTTGCATTGTCTTATGTAACTAGAAACCGAAAGAAATTTTTGAAAAATTAAGAAAACAGAGCAAAATAAAAAAACACATGAAATGTAGACATGTTGAATATTCTTTTTATAGATCATGTAGAGGTAGCAAGCAATAAGAATCAAAACACTGCTAATCAGTTTGTGAACTAAGTGACGTTGTCAATTAAGAATTGATCGCTTCTAATTTTGAAGGTTCTCTCTATCAGTATAATTTGCGCCAATATTGACAATTTATTTAAGTTTAAGAAGAACTTCAATATGGCACGTTCTGAGTAAGACATGTTGGCTCAAAAATTTGTCTATACACATGATAAGAAAACAAGACAAGATAAAGAATCAATGATATTATTTTCAATGGGCATTTTAACGATAACAATTATTCTTGAAAACATCAGTTGGATGGTAAAAGCTTGGGTAACCTTGTCATTATCAATAATAATAAAAAAATCATTTGAAATTTCTCATGCAATAGGATCATGATATTTGACATGTTCGCTAGGGTTGAATGCTTTCATCCGAACTTTCATCTTTTATTCATGTTCTTATATAGCTTTTCTTTGTACATATTTATAGACAGACTTTTCGAGCCAGCATGTGCGACTCATGAAATTTATGAAGGTGGTGGTTCTAGCCTTCTAGGGACAATCTGTACTTCTTTTTACTAATGGTAATACAGTATAACGATCATTTTTTTAAAAAATTAACGTAATTCATATTTTTTTTTTGTATGCGATTCCCTATTTTCACCATGCTAACCTGTCCATTTGCGAATCTTACTTGCATCAATATTGATTTTTAAATTTGACGACAAAAAAAAATAAGAAAGGAATTTTCTATTTAGAAAATATGGAAAACAAAATGGGTCCCACAAAGGTTTGACCAGGAGAAACGGGTGCGGAGCATAAAGAGCTTCAACTACTGCCCCAATCTCAGTAACGTCGCTTTCAACGATCTCTCGCGCGTACTCACTCCGTTTTTTATTTTTTTTTAATTAACTGCAAAACCAAACAGGGCAGAACGGGCAGCACCGTTCGGGCAGGTACATTCCTCGTCTTCCTCACACTGCATGCCTGCCTACCCATAAATAAAGCCTGTAAGATTTATTTAAAATTAAAATAACAATACTACTATACTCTTATTAATTTATTCGATTTTAAGCGAAAAAAAAAGATACAAGGAAAAAGAGAGGACGAACAACGCTAATCATAGTTTCTCTGGCAGGCTTGTTGTTTGCGGCTTATTAAGATTTCTAATAAAGCTGTTGTTATTATTACTTCACGTAGATTTTTTCCAAAAGCACCATTTTTTTATTTCGAAATTTTTAATTAAAAATAAAGCTTTTGTTTACCAGAGAGAGAGAGAGAGTGTGTTTGTAAGTGGTCTGATTGTAGAAAAGACGACGAGAACGCCGGAGAATAAGGATTTTGATTTTGAAAGTGTGTTATTTGGTTAATGGGTTTTAAGCAGGTTTCATCAATGAGGGATTGATTAAAGGATTTGAGTTGAGCTGTCTCTGTGAGGATTAATGGTGGGGATTTTGTGGGTTTAGGGTTTCTCGGAGGTGATGTTGGATCTGAAGTGAAATTTAGCATTGTTCTTGGAAATGGAGACGACTTTTGTGGCGTTTATCTTAGTTTCACTGATCTTACTACCGAATCATTCACTGTGGCTTACCTCTGCTAATTTGGAAGGTTTGTGCGTTTGCTTTAATTACTTTCTGAATTTCGCTCCTCGAATTCTTCGTTATATGGGGTTAATCGCTATCACAGGGTCTGCATTTTGATATTGATATCGGTTTCGATGATTATGTTTTTGTAGTTCTAGTATATTCCAAGATAGTTTGGTTTTTGGGTTATAGAAAGTCCTGTGTTTGTTCTGAAATTTCTGTTCATTGTTTTCAGGTTGTAAGATGTTGTTCTTTCTATGTTTAGAGTTAGTGGCCATTACTGTTGCTTTTCTTGTTCAGATCACTGTACCAAGTTTCTTCTTTCCATGCCAACTTTGTAGATTGAAAGGGCTTTGCGCTGGAAAGCTGGGTAAAAAGTGTCTCTTAGCGTTTCGTTGACTGTGTCTGTAACAGCTTTTGAAGCTTACATTGTTTGTGGCGTGTCTGGAATATATGTACAGCCTAAGATTTGATGTTGTTGATCCAAATATTCTCTGACAGATTTCATTTTGTGTTGATTTTATATCAATTTTGTTTGTTGCTAGTCTCCAATCCTGAAGAGACAGACCTGTTTGTTTTGTTAGTTGTCTTAAACATCTTGATGCTAATATGAAGATTTGTGGTGTTCTCGTCACAGGTGACGCGTTACATACTTTGAGGGTCACTCTAGTTGATCCTAACAATGTCTTGCAGAGCTGGGATCCTACGCTTGTGAATCCTTGCACATGGTTCCACGTCACTTGCAATAACGAGAACAGCGTCATAAGAGTGTAAAAGCTTATCCCGTTCTTGTAACTTTGAATCTCAATTTGCTTTCCATCATTTTTATTTCTCTCCTCGACTACAGCGATTTGGGGAATGCAGAGTTGTCTGGCCATTTAGTTCCAGAGCTTGGTGTTCTCAAGAATTTGCAGTATTTGTAAGTCTCTTTTATGCATCATGTTTAACAATTTGGTTCCAATGTTTTGATGTTAAATGCAGTAGAGATACCTTTTGTAGTTCAAATCTTTAAAAACGCTTCTTCTTTTTTTCTTACAGGGAGCTTTACAGTAACAACATAACTGGCCCGATTCCTAGTAATCTCGGAAATCTGACAAACTTGGTGAGCTTGGATCTTTACTTAAACCGCTTCACCGGTCCCATCCCAGAATCATTGGGAAAACTATCAAAGCTGAGATTTCTGTGAGTACGATTGCTTCACCTGCTCAATCACAGTACTGCTTTTCAACTTCGTTGTAGTCCAAATTTCTAATTCTTTGTTGAAATTTTTACATGCAAGAATAGCCGGCTTAACAACAACAGTCTCACTGGGTCAATTCCCATGTCACTAACTAATGTCACTACCCTTCAAGTGTTGTGAGTTCTCCCATCAACTTTCATTTACATCTGCATTATTCTCCTTCAGTTGATTTGTTTGAGTTGATGCACTTAAACCTTGATCGATGCAACACAGAGATCTATCAAATAACCAACTCTCTGGTTCGGTTCCTGACAATGGCTCCTTCTCACTCTTTACACCCATTAGGTTATATTACTATCTCGTTCAATTATATCAGTCATTGTATCAGTGTCTTAACTTATCGGCAACTAAAATTCTCATTACCTTGTGCAGTTTTGCTAATAACTTAGACCTCTGTGGACCTGTTACAAGTCACCCGTGTCCTGGATCTCCCCCGTTTTCTCCTCCGCCACCTTTTATTCCACCACCACCAGTTTCCACCCCAAGTAAGCCGCCTCTTTCAGTTTACATCATAGGAAACAGAAGATGAGATCTTTGCCTTTCTTTGATTGCCAATAACAAATTGATACTATTTAAGCTTCTTGATGCGTCTAATTTGATTTAAGGTGGGTATGGTTTAACTGGAGCAATAGCTGGTGGAGTTGCCGCAGGAGCTGCTCTGCTGTTTGCTGCTCCTGCAATAGCCTTTGCTTGGTGGCGTCGAAGAAAGCCACAAGATATTTTCTTCGATGTGCCTGGTCAGTTTATTATTCGCTCTAGTTTCTGTTAATTATTCGATCTGAAGTCAGCTATAGCAGAAGATAGTTAGCATGAACAACTGTTATCCAACAACTCAAATTGTCTTTAACTCTGAAAATTTCTAAAAGAGAAGCCATTGTTTGAGATAAAGTTTCAAATGCCAAATCTCTATGCAGCCGAAGAGGATCCAGAGGTTCATCTGGGACAGCTCAAGAGGTTTTCTTTGCGGGAGCTACAAGTGGCGAGCGATGGGTTTAGTAACAAGAACATTTTGGGCAGAGGCGGGTTCGGGAAAGTCTACAAGGGACGTTTAGCAGACGGAACTCTAGTTGCTGTCAAGAGACTGAAGGAAGAGCGAACTCCAGGCGGAGAGCTCCAGTTTCAGACAGAAGTGGAGATGATAAGTATGGCCGTTCATCGAAACCTCTTGAGATTACGAGGTTTCTGTATGACACCGACCGAGAGATTGCTCGTGTATCCTTACATGGCCAATGGAAGCGTCGCCTCATGTCTCAGAGGTAACATAACCAAAAAGAGACGATTTTGAGCTCTCTCTCTCTCATTTCTTTTCCATCTTTTAAAAAAAGAGAATCTTTTAAAAAAAGAGAATCTTTTTAATGTTCTTCTCTATGGTCTACACAAATGACGCAGAGAGACCACCATCACAGCCTCCGCTCGATTGGCCAACGCGGAAGAGAATCGCGTTAGGCTCAGCTCGCGGTTTGTCCTACTTACACGATCACTGCGACCCAAAGATCATTCACCGTGACGTAAAAGCAGCAAACATTCTACTAGACGAGGAATTCGAAGCGGTTGTTGGTGATTTCGGGCTAGCCAAGCTAATGGACTACAAAGACACTCACGTGACAACAGCCGTTCGTGGCACCATCGGTCACATCGCTCCTGAATATCTCTCGACCGGAAAATCCTCAGAGAAAACGGACGTTTTCGGTTACGGAATCATGCTTCTTGAACTCATCACAGGACAAAGAGCTTTCGATCTAGCTCGGTTAGCAAACGACGACGATGTCATGTTGCTTGACTGGGTAAAAATCTTTATAAAAAACTTCCCATTTCGCTTAAGATCTCAAAATCTAAACTTGTGACATTTTTTTGGTTTTGTTTATAGGTGAAAGGGTTGTTGAAGGAGAAGAAGCTAGAGATGTTGGTGGATCCAGATCTTCAGACGAACTATGAGGAGAGAGAGTTGGAGCAGGTGATTCAAGTGGCGTTGCTTTGCACGCAAGGATCTCCAATGGAACGACCAAAGATGTCGGAGGTTGTACGGATGCTCGAAGGAGATGGGCTTGCGGAGAGATGGGACGAATGGCAGAAAGTTGAGATTTTGAGGGAAGAGATCGATTTGAGTCCCAATCTTAACTCTGATTGGATCGTTGATTCTACTTACAATTTGCACGCCGTCGAGTTATCTGGTCCCAGGTGAAATGTAATCTATATTCAAACAAAATTATAATTCTTTTTTACTTATAAGGTTAGGTAGTTTTTTGTACCAGTAACTTCTCGTTTTTTTTTCTCTTGAAATGAAACTAACATTCAAAGATATGTGATTTTGTGTAAGTTGTTTGTGCTACCGATCGATCAAAAATAATTATAATCTCTTAGATTTTGTGTAAGGACTGTGTCTAATGTAAAGAAGAACAATGAATGTATTAGGAAATTAAAAAAACTCATTTCGCATTCATACGTAAAACGACGTAGTTTTATGAAACAAAAAGGGTTTTTGTTGGAAAAAAATAAGGCCAAAGAAGGGTTTTGGTACTCTGTCTTCGCGTTCCATCGTCGTGACACGTCGCAGCTCCATCTCCGCCGCCTCGTCGAGTTTTTTCATCCTCCTCGTTGCTTCTTCGTCGTGGTGGCTGCAAAAAGTTCTGTAGAAAGAGAGAAGAAGATGAGTAGCTCAGATATGAATAATCCACCAATGGAAGAAGAGGATGAGGGAGACGTTTTCCTTGGTGAATCCGATATTATCCATGAAATCGATGTCGACGGCGAAGGTTTTTCTTTTCTACTCATCTCTCTCTCCGTTTCTATCGTGACCTCTTATTATATATGACTCTTCTATTGTGGATTCAGATCTTCCTGACGCATTTGATGATGATGGTGACGATGGTGGTGATGAAGAATTTGGTAAGGACTCATCACCTCTTTTGTTTCCGCTAAACTTATTGGAGTTAATGGCTCTTAATTTTTATTTTCTTGCAGATGAAAACGATGACTCCATTCATACATTCACTGGTCACAAAGGTAAATGCATTTGAACCCAGATTTTATCATTCTCTTTATCACTCAAATGTTTGCAAATTTTTTATGAACTAAGAAGGGTTTCTATACACAGGTGAGCTTTATGCATTAGCTTGTAGCCCAACAGATCCTACGCTTGTTGCAACTGGAGGTGGAGATGATAAAGGCTTTCTATGGAAGATTGGCAATGGAGATTGGGCTGCTGAGCTTCCTGGTCACAAGGACTCTGTCTCTTCTTTAGCTTTTAGCTATGATGGACAGTTAGTTGCATCTGGAGGATTGGATGGTGTCGTCCAGGTCTTTGATGCTTCATCAGGGACTTTGAAATGTGTTTTGGACGGTCCTGGTGGTGGGATCGAGGTATATAAAAACTTGTGCTTGATTCACAAAAAACAACACATTTTAGGTTTATATCAAAACTGTGAGTTGAGTATTTTCTCTTACTGTGTGATTTCTCAGTGGGTGAGGTGGCATCCGAGAGGACACATTGTGTTGGCTGGATCAGAAGATTGTTCTCTATGGATGTGGAATGCTGATAAAGAGGCATATCTTAATATGTTTTCGGGTCACAATCAAAGCGTCACTTGCGGTGACTTCACTCCTGATGGTATTTAAGCTTCTGCCTAATAATGCTTTATGGACTGTTTATAATTCTACTTGTTTTTTTCATTCAATTGTTTGTCTGTGTTGGGAAACTGTAGGTAAACTAATCGTTACTGGCTCTGATGACGCAAGTTTGATAGTATGGAACCCAAAAACTTGCGAAAGCATTCATGTGGTCAAAGGCAAGCAAAAACTCACTCCCTCTTTCGGATTTCATGTTACTACTGTACATTAAGTACGCTGCTACATATATCGCCTCTTATGCTTGGTGTAAAACGCTAACCTTTGATTTCTTGTAGGCCATCCGTATCATACGGAAGGGTTGATTTGCTTGGACATTAACTCGAACTCCAGTCTTGCAATCAGTGGCTCAAAAGACGGATCTGTTCACATTGTGAATATTGTCACCGGAAAGGTTTCTACTATTCCCTCGTTTACTTTACTACTGTTACATGATTGTCTGCATATTTCTATATCTATACCTTTCTATTTTAAGGCTTGTGATATAGAAGTTTCATCATGTCGAAAAGTTTTTTTTTTTAATTTGTCTTTGATCTGCCATGTTCTTGGATTAAGAGGGTAGTCACCTTGTGATTCTCATACCTATTCGACATATCAACTAACCTATGCATAATTATACCAATAGGTTGTGAGCTCTCTGGCTTCTCACACAGACTCAGTTGAATGTGTGAAGTTTTCACCAAGCTCAGCAACCATCCCTATGGCTGCAACTGGTGGAATGGATAAGAAGCTTATAATCTGGGATCTGCAACATTCAACTCCGAGGTTCACCTGCGACCATGCGGTATTAACCTTGTAATTTCTCTGATGTGACAGAATCAAAACAGAGATCGAAATTAAACCAACAAGCCCTCCTTCTCTCTTTTTTAATTACAGGAAGGTGTGACATGCGTGACTTGGTTAGGAACCTCCAAGTACTTAGCCACGGGCTGTGCTGATGGTACAGTGAGCGTTTGGGACAGCTTATTAGGTAACTGCGTCCATACCTTCCATGGCCACCAAGATGCAGTCCAGGCCATCTCAGTCTCCACCAACACCGACTTCATTGTTTCTGTCTCTGTTGATAACACTGCTCGTGTCTATGAGACATCAGAGTACATAAACAAAATGGCATAGGCAAGTGAGAGAGCATTTTTTTCATGTCCATTTCCTCACGGTATTATTATCTGATGAGATGAAAACATTCTACTTTTCAGTTATCTTTGCAACATCAATAGTTTTGTTTCTCTTTTAGCTGCTAATTATGCAATATCAATTAGATAGTACTTAGCAGTTTAGATAAGCAGCTTAAAGCACGATAGATTAATAACTATTTAGCCCATAAAGGCTCCCAAATTGAGATTGGAAAACCCATATATATAATTTATTAAGGACTAAGCCCATAAGGGGTTTCAATGTGCATATGACTCAACACGTAAAGTAGAGAAGTAGTTTCATTTTTACATCCGATCAATTTGGGATTTACTTTAATCCTCCAGAGGCTGAAGCATTACGGGTAAGCCGTACTGAGGCAGTATGCTGAGATGATCCACCTGATAAAATATTTTAAAAATTTATGTCAAAAATGCAAAACGGCTATGATGGAACTTGGAAGTAAATGTGAGTGAACTATATGTGGTTGTAACAAAGAGTAGGACTTCATTAAAAGCAAGGTCTCTATGAGTCACGCTTGATGACATGTAGGACTTGATGAGTATGTGACTATGTGTCATAGATATATGTCCCTTTACATAAGTTTATATTTCAGATATATGTCTGTCAGTTTGTGTATGCCAATCTGTTGCCAAAATATGAATAGAAGAAATAAAACCAAACAGTAAGAAGATTAATATTAATGGAAAAGGATCAAAGAATGTGAAAGCCTTTGAAAAGAATAGGATGAATCATGTGAATCTAACACTGTTTCATTTAAAAGTTACTCTCACTCTCCTATAAATCTATTATCAACTTTACACTTTACTTCATCATCTCTTCACCATATTTTCTTCCATTCCAAAAAGTTTCTATATAAGAACGTACAAATATAAACTAAATATTTTTCAAATGAAATCGGTATCTTTACTTGCAATTCTTCTTCTCCATCTCTTTGTTAGTAGTAATAGTTTCCGATTGGATCTCTTGAACTGTGAGTATTATGTGGCAATTACATAATTCAATATTAGACGATCAAAATTCATATATATCTTGGCTTGGTTATGTACTTATGTACATATGTATTTGACGAGCGATTATTTGGTTATTTCTTTTATTGCGAGGTTCTAGATGTGGCAAGCGGGTCAAGCATACCGGATTGCTCGCACGCGTGTGGACCATGTAGACCATGCAAGCTCGTTGTGGTTAGTTCCACGTGCTCCGCTTCTGAGGCTTGTCCTGTCGTCTACAAGTGCTTGTGCAAAGGCAAATACTATCACGTGCCTTCCATTGCCTAACCCCTCTCCACGTCACGTGACCTTGTTCACATCTTAAGCTAAACTCATACGCTTTTAGAGAGATTACTACTGTATTGTTGCTTTCATAATTTATTGTATCATTTTGGGTTGTGGTTGATTTGTAATGTCTGTAATAAACAAAAAAATTTGGTGAACATAAAAGCGAAACGGACCAAAGTTGAATAAACTGTCGAAAAAGATGAAAAAGAAAAAAAGAGAAGAAGATAATATTACATTATTGGGTTGTAAAGCACTGAGCCGAATACAAAAATTTGACAAGTGATGAGTGTAAGATCGTTTGAACAGAACTCAGAAGACAAGGCTGCTAAGATCTACAGAGGATGAACATTGATGAAGAAAGCTCAGTTATCGCGGCGATGAACAAACTAATAATACTATTTCCTAAGAGAAGAGTCGGATTGATTTTAAAGCTCAGTCTCAATTTCGTTGAAGTTCCAGTCTCTGACAAGGTCTCTTCTCACTGCACGGCTTCGCACTAACCGTGGCGAGGCTCCTTCTGTCATCAACAGATCACCAGCCTGAAAATTGGGTTGTGGGGTTACCTTTGAGGATGTTGCAGGGAAAGTGTTGGATCTTGCGGCTTGAATGAGTGATTTCCTCGTGAGGCAACTCGCAATCACGGAGCATCTTCCTTCATTGTCTGAGCTAGAAACTGAGTAGCTTCTAAACGAGTGGGATGGGCTCTCCACACTGTGACACACGAGGCAGGCAAAGCTCATTTCTTTTTGTTTTCTTCTGTGGGCGAATATCTTGTGTGTGGCTTTTGAGTCACAAGGAACACCCCTTTGGTTTTTTTAGTCCTGCATTTAAACAAAAGCCAAAGATTTCAGAAACTTGCATGCTGATGGAACATAAAACTACCCTTCACAGGGGCTAAGCTAGCCATTGACCAAAGTCAGTAAAGTAAATTCCTCTCAGACAAATTACAAGCTTATATAAACAAATATCTGACCAGTTTCAACTAGCACTCTTCGCTGACACATTTCATCAATAAGATCATGGCAATATAATCTCGAGGATGATAACCACTAACCACTACAAGTGAGTAGATAAAGAAACAAGACAAAGCTCATTACTTTACACGCAACTAAGAGTTCCTGAAAGACTTGTGACTTACATAGATAGCTAGTAAAAACTGGCAGCTCTCAAACCAAATTATTCAGAGATCTACATAACCTGACAGACTCATCAATGTCTCGAATCCATTTTTAGAAGCAAATGGAGGCCACGATGAGGTTAGAAGGCAGGCATATGAAATGGAAGGGATCACAACATTCTACAATCATGAGGCAAAAGAATTCAAGCGAAATACACTATGATACCCACAAAAGCCTCATACGATTCTTAACCATATGCTCAGAGTCTTGAGAATACAACACTACACCTTCGACAGCAAATTCAACCAAGATATACAAAATTTCCGATATAATTCATCAACTGGTGGACAAAATTTGTGAGATAAGTGGAGGATCCACAAGAATTTAAATCAAATTCCGCGTTAAGGACAGAGATGGACGACTGAGGAAGCATGAGAGAGAAAGAGAAAGAGAGAGTTTGAGATCTGGAGACGCAAACTTACCATTGAGAAATTCGCGAATCGGAATATCGTCTAAGAAGAAGAAGAAGCCTCGTGGCGATGATTGCTTATCGACGACCCAGAAGCTCAAAGGCGAAAGACTCGCGGCCGATTTTATAGCTAAGTTTACTGTGCGTACCGACACGCGCCGCCACAAGCGTGATTTCCCGCGTGCGACAGTGATTAGCTAATGGCGACATTACTTTAACCGCTCCCAATTTATATTATTTACAATTCACCACAGAAACTCGGTTTAGTGAAAACAAGTAAATTGTATTCAGCTCCAACCAAATCAAACCGATTCAATTTCTAGTCTTTTAAAACAATCTTGGCATTTCATTTGCTTCTTTAGTCAGCACTTCCACAGCATAAGTTCGAAAAAAAAACAACTTTTCATCACATCTGGAAATTTACAGAAATCGAAGAGTCTCAAAAAGACTCTTTTTCACAAGAGACACTACAAGATGATCGATCCATCCACACCGGTTTCTCCATAGTCAGGTTAAGAAGATGATTAGATACATTTGCGTATAAAAGCATCTTCCTCTTTACCCCTTCTATGCAGATGACCACAAGACAATGTAGCATTCAGCTGGATCAAAAGATAGAGAAGAGAAGAGTATTGTAAGCAAATTTTTAAACACTAAGCTCACTCAGCTTTGCTTGTCTAAATTGTGTACCTTTATGAACTTGTTCCAGCATTTGTCCCCACAGTTAGATCTTCTAATTCATCAACAATGGCATTGTAGCAAAAGAAGTATTGATCCTTAGGAAAGGATAAGAGTTGAACACGTTAGAACGCCCATGAACAAGACAACAATGTGGTAACATACAGAAATTTGGTTGTGCCAAGAAATTAGAAGATTACCATGGTTTGGACCATGCCAATGCGTTGGCTGCGGAATGTTGCCACGGTTTTAGCAAGATCCAATGCAGACATATCGCCAGCAAGAATTCTCTGGATTGTGTTATGTATCGCACAATATGTTCCTGTTCTTCCTATACCTGCACTGAAAGATACAAACAAATTCTCTCAGGAGACATTGAAAGACGCTTGCATATAGACACACCCATTGACATGCATCGTACCTGCAGTGTACAATGATTGGGCCGAGACTAGGCGGTACTTGATACAGTCTTTTTAGAATGTCACGGACAGCCACAGTATCCTTGGGAACTCCATGATCAGGCCATTCCGGATATTGAATATGCAAAACTGACATAGGCTGATCCTCTGTCTGAAACACAACACCACACAGTTCTCATTTCAGGTGTTACAAGTTGGACCCTTAAAAGAGAGGAACTTTGATCCAATAGAAAGAAGCAGTAGCAAACTGATACAAGATTCTTACCTCCTTGTAGTTAACCTCAAGATTCCGCAACATTAATGAAGTATCAGTAGTCTTTACCCATTTTGTCATAACAGATATACTGCCAAATTCTCTAGGTCTATCTTCGGCTTGAAAATAGTCCCCGCATTTAACAGTCTGTAACAAGACGCCAAATAAGTTAGTTTGAATACACAAACCAGATAAGTTCATTAATCAGCATCCCTGAGATAGTTATCTATCTTCAACACTGTTTATGGAACATTCATAACTTGCATACTGAACTAATGTTTGATTGAATAAGAGGGAATGGCATCAGAACCAAATGCTCACAACAACTCGACCAATATTCCTTCCCTTCTACTTGGATGTTTGCAACAGATTAGATAAATATGATACCGTCTAAATCAAATATAGTAACAGACGCCCTGATAATCAGCTCAATAAGTCTGTGAACATCCTTCCTTTTTTGTTATTTCTAAGGGTGAGTTCAATCCATAATTTATATGAAGGTTGGTGAGACTCTAGTACTAAGATAGGTTCGTATCAACTGCCCTCCAATGAGCTATTAAGTAGAAGAAAACATTAGTGTCAGTATCATGTGTCACTAGAAACCTCCTTACGAACTAATATTTAAGAATAAATGAGTTCATCAATCATCAAACAAATAAGATAGCAACACAACACCAACGAAAACGACTCATACAGACAATCGAGACAAAGAAGTTTGAAAACCTTGTAGTTAAGTACCTTATAGTTGTCGACCAACCGAGTGAGCATAACTATGATTGGGCAATGCTGCTGAATCACCATCTCCCAGAAGTCCTCCATCGTGTTTGGTAGAGGACCTTGTGTAGCTATGAACTCAGAAACACTCTCAGACGACGAAGACGTCTGCCAAACATAAGCCATTGTAAATAACCTTAAAAAAGAATCAATCACAAGAACTAATAATAAGAGCTGTACCTTGATGAAGCTTGCGTTGACATATCCCTTTGCAGGTGATCGATAGTCTTTGCATGGATTCAGAAGAACCCTATTCTTGTCAACTATATCCAAAGCAGAACAACAACAAAATGAAAATCCGATTAGAACCATCACGCTACCTAGCAAAGCCACAGAAATAAGAAAAAGGAAAAGACAATTACATGGCACAACGTCTGTGTATCTGTTTTTCTCAGAATTGACACTGTTCATAGCCACTGTACACCTTAGCTGCATCTCCGAGGGCCACAACCTATTAGCCTGCGTTTCGTTTCGATGAAAGTTTATTATGACCACACAGGAAGAACACTATGAAGAGTAAACTCTCAATTCCTCAGCAGTCGAGCAAGGAAACCAAAAAGAAGAGAAAAAACGACTCTAAGATGGATCTATAACCTGCAAATTGGCAAACTCCCGCGCGATCGAGTCACGATCTAGGATCTTATCCCTGAAAATCCCGAGAGCTTTGTGGCAATAACTGAGCTGATCGGGCGAGAGAGAAAGCTTTGAAGGAGGCGAATCAGCGGATGAGAAATCGAAACGCTTCGAGTCGATGGAGCCGGTGGTAAGATTCGCGGCGGGAGACGTCGTTCCGGGGTTTGCGGTCGCCATGGCCGATTGCCGGTGGGATCTAGGGCGACGGCAAGAAGTGAGATTGCCCGTCGTGTGAGGCGGAGAGAGGCGACCTTTTTCTCGTGTGTAGAAGTTTTTGATTGGCTGGCTCAGATTACTAACTTGCCTTTTGATTTGGTGCGCATTTTCTTTTAAGCATCCAATTATCGATACTTTACTAAAGTCGATGGCCATAATATGTCTAAATGAATATTTTTGGTCCTTATGTTTATATAAAAAATATATTGGCAAGCTTTTAAGCAAAGGAACGCCTGGTCCCTACCCTTTACCACTTGAACTTTCGCCGGAATATTTGTCCGGGGAGATTTTGCATTTTTAAAAAAACTTTCCCTTCATTAAAAAAAAAAGAATCACATTTTTCATTTTTGTTTTTCCAAATTTAATTGTTTCTCGCTAAAGTTGTCATTAGAGTTTTGGCGAATCATTTATCAAACTTTAGTGAATCATGTAGCGCCGAATCATCAATCATTTAGCAACATGTTAATTTAACTTAGGTGAATCATGTAGCACCCTCAAAATTCTTTCTAGAACAACCTCAAATTCTAGTTTTATTTCTTTACTTTCTTGGATCAGCTCTCCAAAGGTGTTTGGGTTCAACCCTTGCTGATTAGTGGCCACAGTGCCTAAAGACTCATTGTTTCTGCTTGAATCCTAATCTAAACCAAATGAAAAGAAAAACATGTCAAGCAAGCACATATAAATTTAGAAATAACTTTGATTAATAACATTGTATGGTTTTTTACACCCAAAAAAAACTTTGTGTGGTTTAAATAGGATTTGTGGAAAAAAGTCTGAGATTACTAACTTGAATTTGTTTTGGACCATTTGGTGCATTTTTTTATTTCTTTTAAAACATGTAAAAGTTATTTTTTTCAGAAAAAGAACAGACCCAGAAACCCTCTCTAAACCCTCCATTGTTTTTCCCTTTTCAAATTCCCGAAACCCTAGAGCAAACTCGCCGCTTCTCAGATGAAATCCATTTTCCGCACCATTTCCATCCGCCGTCAAACCGGCCGTCGAACCTTCGCCGATACGGCGGAAGATGCCTACAAATTCGTGAGAGACAGAGGCCTCGACCACGCGGTGGAGAGAGAGAAGAATCTCAGGCCGCTTCTCAGCATCAAGGACCTAATCAGATCGGAACCTTCCAAATCAGTTCCGATCTCGGTTATCACAACCCAGAAAGACTCCCTTCGAGTTCCCCTCCGTCCAATCGAGTTCATCCGGAGCTTCCCTTCCGTTTTTCAGGAGTTTCTTCCCGGAGGAATCGGCATCCATCCTCACATCAGCCTCACGCCGGAGATTCTCAACCTCGACGCAGAAGAGCAATTGGTTTACGGAAGTGAGTCTTACAAGCAGGGATTAGCTGATAGGCTATTGAAACTGCTTATGATAAACAGGATCAGCAAAATTCCTTTAGAGATTCTCGATTTGTTGAAATGGGATTTAGGTTTGCCTCAGGACTACGTTGAATCCATGGTGCCTGAGTTCCCTGACTATTTTAGAGTAATCAAATCCAAGTTTCGCGGATGTATTGGCGAATTAGAACTGGTTTGCTGGAGCAACGAGCATTCTGTATCTGTGTTGGAGAAGAAAGCTAGAGCAGTAGGGAAAGGAGAGTTTTCTAAAGGATCTCCTATTGCTTTTCCTGTCAAATTCTCAAACGGTTTTGTTGTTGACAAGAAGATGAAGAAATGGCTCGATGAATGGCAGAAACTGCCGTATATTTCTCCGTATGAGAACGCGCTTCATCTCTCGGCGACCAGCGATGAGTCTGACAAATGGGCAGCTGCTGTTTTGCATGAAATCTTGAACCTTTTTGTGTCGAAGAAGGCTGAGAAAGATGCGATTCTGCATCTTGGTGAGTTTATGGGGTTGAGATCGAGGTTTAAGAGAGTTCTCCATAACCATCCCGGTATCTTTTACTTGTCAAGTAAGCTTAGGACTCACACTGTGGTCCTTAGAGATGCTTACAAGAGGGGAATGTTGGTAGAGAGCAATCAGTTGGTGACAAGCCGTAATCGTTACATGAAACTCATGAGTAAGGCTAAGAAAGAAAACAATGCAGTGTCTAGCAGAAAGAGGGAAGACAAGGGGAAGGTAGAAGGAGAAGTCTGTGACACTGATGCGATAGCTGAGAATGATGACATTTCTGGTTCTGAAGTCGAGGATGAGCGTGAAGAAGATGTTATTGAGGACGACGAGGACGATGAAGATGATGATGATCAAGTGGATCAAAACCAGAGTCTGAACCGTGGTCGTAGAAACTCAAGTCCAAGAGCTGGTAGGAGGAGTTTTGGGAAATCAGGGTCACAGGAGAAGCCACATTCAAGTCCAAGAGCAGGTAGGAGGAGTTTTGGAAAATCAGGTTCACTGGACAAGCCACGGTCAGGACGCAACAAGGTCAACTTAACGACAGAGAAGAGGAGTCAGATGTCTTAAAGACTGAATTAATCTTTAACTGCGGCTGCATTTTCAGCTGGTTCGTTCCTTCTCCTGTGTAGCTCTATAGCTAATGTTTTTCATTCTTACTTCTCAGTGGATGAAACCAAGTTTTGTTTAAGAGTGTATAATTTCATAGTTATGCTCAGACCTTAAAATCTGACTTCTCCATGTGATTTTGCAGACTCGTGGTATCACCTAGTTGAATTCTAGTGTAAAATATTAGCAGGACTGAGTCTGAGTCATTAACAATATCAATGTAATGAGTAAAACCTCTTTCTTGCAGAGCTTCTTGAGATGTATCCTCTTGAGATATAATTCTGTACATGGCGACATGGACAAGTTCAGAAGAGTTATGACGAGATGTGAAACAGAACAGAGAAAGGAACCTGCATCAATTGAAGATTAGACAGCATATCACAATGTCAGAAGTAAGACGAGATTTGAGTTTCTTGCTCATGACAATTGGGTTACGACAACTAGAAATTTAAACCGAGTCGTTATTGATAGGGTATTTATAAGTCGAAACTTGAAGTGCCCGGAAAAAAGGGAAGACATTTGTATGGGGCTAATATGACAATGATATGTCGGGGTTTTAGGAAAATAACGGTGTCTGTGTCGGGTTTTGAAATATTCCGGTTATAAAATTTTAGATGTAATTCTACTTTTGCCGAAAAAAAAAACAAAAATGTAATTCTACCATTTTCTCATCATTGTTTTTTGACACATTGACCATTTGACCCAACTTAACATTTTTTTTTTTTCTATTTCTATGACCCAACTTAACATAACTACGCAAAATACATTCTAAAAAAAAAAAGAAATGGTTTTTTATTTGGGTTATGAAAACAACATTAAAGGGAGAATATAGGACAATAGGCAATTTCAGGCCTGTGCATTCAATGGTGTTTACTGTTTAGCTTAATATGGCCTAAAAAGGTTTCTTACATGCTTTTATTATATTCTCCTTATTTCATCATTTTTGGCAAAGTTCCGTATTGATATGGCCCATATCCAACATTCCTGTTTTTTAAATAGTTTTAATCTCATTTTTGGCAAAGTTTCAACGTCTAAAACTGATTTAGCTTCCACGAGATTTCAATTAGCAAACTCACTAAAAAAACCGAAACAAACACAAAACATTAGCAAACGAGTCAACAACACTCATCAATAGTTGAAATACCCCCCAAGATCAACCAAACAAGTCCTCTAAACTTTTTTTGTCCCACAATTTATTACAAAACACCACCCAACTTCTCATCACTTCCATTACGATCATCCAACAACAACAACGACGACTCTTCATCTTTCCCAACTTTCCTCATCTCCAAACTCGTCAACCTCATAGCCCTCACCGCTTCCCCTTCCCAATCCGTCTTCGCCAAAACTGCATACAATATCGAAACCACACAAGCCGCTTGAGCAGAAAGCAACCCAAACCACAACCCACTAAACCCAATTTTCAACCAAAACGCTAGTCCAACCGCCACAGGCGTCCCCACAAAATAAAACGACCCAAGATTCACGTGTGCCCCAACCGCAGGCCGACCAGTCCCTCTTAGAATCCCACAACCTGTAGTTTGAGGGCAATTCCCTAACTCGCAAAGCCCAACAATTGGCATAACCGAAGCAACCAACACCTTGAGTGGCTCGTAGCCAGTGAAAAGCCCTGCCCAACGCTCTTTTAATACCACAGTCCAAACTACATTCAATGCTCCTATTACAAATGCGCAAGCTAGAGCCACGTTTGCTGCTAGTCTCGCCTTGTACGGTCTACCTGCACCGAGCTCGTTTCCAACCTGTGAAATATTAATGGAAAACCACAAAAATCAAATCTTAAAAGTTAGTTATTGAAGCCAACCTTTTGTCACAAGTAAAGGAAACATAAAAGGACAAGTGGTTTCTATGAGGTTTTGAAGAGTGTCATGAGATTGGCAACAATAAATTAGACCACACTTGACTACTTTCTTTTCAACCACTTTTTATTTTATTTTATTTTTAGGTATGTTAACGTCCAATCACATACCACGGGGTGACCTATTAATGGAAGTTGATAAAAATATTTTTTTCACAACCCACACAGCACATTGCACGTTTTTTAAACCTTTTTTTTATCCTTTTTCGAAAAAGTTAAAAAATAAGTGATGACTAAGCCGTTACGGTTTTTTCGAAACCCATATAATAAGAACATACAAATCTATAATTAGGAGCAAGTTTCAATAACATAGTCATTATTTAGGTCCTCGGACACACCCAGACAGTACAAACTTATGCCAAGAACAAGAACAAAGTGTATCACATCTTTCTTGAGTAACGTTCTTGACAGGGTAACTTGTATTCACACCTTCAAGTTAATTCCAAGACATTAAAGTCCTAATTTAATTTATTAATTAGTAGTACCCACTCCAGTCTAATCAGAAGCCAAAAAAAAACAAAAAAAAAATACTAATGTTGGCTAAAAGACATTTTTCTCTACAGCTTGATTTTGAACTTTCAATTTTCAAACCCAAATCAACTTATTGACTCAAATCTTGACCACTTATTAGTCAATATAGTCTTTGACTAAAATCTTGACCACTTAAAAATCCATTAAAAAACAGAGAGAGAGAAAGTCACATACCCTAGCAGAGACGCATCCAGCTAAAGCCATAGGAACAGTGTACATAAGACTCGTAGTCTGAATCAAAATCCCAGTGGCAGCCACCGCAAGCTTAGGATTCTCCAAGTAACCACCCATCACAATCACAATCTCATACCACCACCACTCCAAACATATCCCCAAGCAACTCGGAACCGCCACTCTCATCAACGGTCCCAAACCTCCGACCAACTCCACCACAGACGACGACTGATTATTCCCCACCACCATAGACCCACTAACCTTCTTCTGCAACCTCCCACTAGCCCAAACATAGCCCACCAAAAGCCCAACCATGATCAAATTCGTCACAACAGAGGCAGTAGCCACACCAGGAACACCCCATCGCTTCACCATCACGAGCCAATAATTCAACGGCACGTGGAACGCTACAGCGGCTAACGTGCACCACATCATCGGTTTCGTCACACGCTGCGACCTCAGGTAAACACGTAGCGGCTGAAGCAGAGTGTTAGTCAAGAGATCGGGAAGCGCGTAGAGACAGTACTCTGCTGCTGTAGCGGTTATCTCCGGGTCTTGGCCCATGAACAACATGATGGGCCCGAGGTTGATCCATAGGAGGCTGATGGGCACGGAGGCGATTAGTAGAATCACCACCATACGGTGGAGAGAGAGCGAGAGGAGATGCCAGTTCTTGCTCCCAAAGGCTTGGCTACAGACTGGCTCGAGACCCGAGGCGAGTCCAACGAGGACTGAGTAGCCTGTGATGTTGGTGAATCCGATCGAGAGAGCTCCACCGGCGAGCTCGAGGCTACCGAGACGGCCGAGGAAGAGGACGGAGACGACGGCGCGTACGTAGACAAGACAGTTCATTGCTGTGATCGGTAAAACCATAGCCCAGAGCTCTTTTAGCTCCTCTGTGACTTGAGTAAAGGTTGGGTTTTTATGGGAAGAGAAATCGTCTGATTGGGTTTTGTCCTCCATTTTAAAGCCGACTTTTTTTTTCTTTCTGAGATTCAATCAAACAGTAGAGAGTTTGATAAAACAGAGGTAGAGTTATAATTTAACAAGGAGAGAAGAGGAAGCCATGGGAGGTAAAGTTGCGAGCTTTACGGGTGAAACAGAGAAGGGAAATGGAAGACGTGAAACAGGGGAGCTAGAAAGGAAAGCGAAAGGAAAGAAAGTAAACGCAGAAAAATAAAGATCTATTCGTTTGTCTCCTGAAAGTGAAAGGAGGAAAGCTGCAATAAATAGAGGAGAAAGAGTTTTAAAAAAAAAAACAGAAAACTTAGACCAAAATTAAACAAAAATTAAATATCTCCTTTGCTTGTTTAGAATTTATCACACAGATACAATAACAATTTTGTTTTTATTACTAATGTGTTTTTCAATAATTATGTTAACACCACTTTTCTTTTTTCCAATTGAATACAAAATTGTTGAATAAATAGTATAATGCTATGTAATTCAAAAGGTAATAAATGGTCTCAAAACAGTATTATTATTATTTTAAGAAGATTTATTACCTTTTGTATTTGTGTTCCAAAAAAAGTTGTTAGATTTTTATTTTGGGAACTTTTTTTGGCAAATACTAATAAACAATTATAATCAAAGTTATTTCTAAATTTATCTCTTTTGCTTTATTGTTATTTTTAATAAGATTGACTTGTTTTAACTCAAACTTAGATTTTAAGTAAATGGACTTAACTGTAATTTGGATTAACTCAAAATTATTTTATATATTCATATCTCCTTTTCCGCAAATATTTGTATCTCTTTTTTTTCGCAAGTATTTGTAATCTCTCCGAGGTAATCAAATGGCCAAAACAAAATATGTTAAAGTAAGAATAGTGTCGGACTAGATAATGGACAAACTAATAGGAAAAATATAAGAAAACAATATACCTGCAACGTATTACTGCTTTTTAATTATTTTCCGAGTGAGAATAAAGAAAACCTAAAAGGGTTGGGGGCCTGAGTAAATTAAGGGATCAAAAGTAGGAACCAATTATAGTTGTGATTTATTACATGCTATGATAATTTATCCCATTTCTATGGTTATTAGATATTATTGTCTCTGTTTTATATGAGATGTTTTCTGTTTTGAATTTCCTGATATGAAATTACTCAAAATTTAACATAATAAGTAATAGTGTGTAGCCATTCCATTGGTTTTAGTTATTGGGTTTTGTGCTATCTAAGTATCTATCATAAGACCGCCTCTATCGAAAAGTTCTCACTTGGGTTTTTTAACATTGTATATATATAAAATAATAGTTAGATATTAGAGGGATTTTCAAAAGAGGAAAGAGTATCTAAAATTGCTTATTTGAGAATTCTTCTCTCCTCTTCTGAAAACCTCTCAACAAATATTATTTTTATTTTATTTTATATAATTTTTTGAGAACCTTTATACCTTTTTTTTAGAACCCCATGGATAGAGATGCTTTAAGAATCACCCTCAAACTTTCACATGCGTGTTAAAGATGTCAACAAAAAAAAAAAAAAAAAAAAAAGAGAGAGATAGGATGATAAAATGCTACGTATTTGATACTATTCTAACAAATGTATTATGCATGTTACGTATTTGAATGATATTTTATTATATGTTATATCCACAAAACATTTAAGCTGACATTAATTTTTTCATTGAAGGAAAATCATAGAAAATATGTATCACCGTGACTTTAACGTTAATTTTCTGTGTTGTGATTTCATATGTATATCTTTAACCATCAACAAAGAAGACACTGTAAATTCCGATCAATGTGTAGATGCTCTCATATAGTTTAGAACGTTGTTGTGGTCGGATTGTAGATTAGTAGGGTTCATTAATTAGAAAGTTCTAATCGCGCAGTAGAAAGTTCGGACAATGGCGTCATAGCATGGGTAAGGCAATATTCAACTATGTATCATGCAAATGGACAGGTATGCAATTATAGTATATAGTATGTTCTAAGCCCAAACATGAGCATAAGCAACAAAAGCAAACAATAAACATATTCCAGATTTTTCAACATGCAAAGCTTACACTCCATTCATCCAAGCTTGTTTTCATCACGAGCTATAATACCAAAATATGAAACAAATATCCAAAAAAATCGTTACAAATATGTATCAGACAATTTTATTTTCTTATAATTTTTGTGTAAAACATATTGAGGATTTTTGACTAAAAAAAATATAACGAAGATTTGAATGATAGACATATGTTACTCTATTACAAGTATAGCGGCTGGTAGAATTGATTAGGTCGGATAACTAGTGGCATTAATTGACGATATTTTCATTCACTTGCATCGTGACACGTATTTTTATCCATCATGCAGCTATGCTGTTTTTTTTTTTTTTTAAGGAAACAATTTGTTCTAACGAAACTTTAAACGAGCAAATCGGAGTCTAACACGACTCCAATACCATTCCATCTTTCGATATTTTACAAATTGGTTTTATTCAATGATATCAAGATTATAGGCTTGACTTACTTTTACTTTCTAAAACGTCAAATACAGAAGAAGTAGAAAAATATGGTATTTCACGTGTTGAGTTCACGTGTAAATGGTGAACTAGTGACGAAGACAGGTGATTTTCAATGTGCAAAGGTATTTTGAGTTTTATTTGGGTATTTTAAAATTACTCTTTCCATATTCTAATATAGTATGTCAGTAAATTAGTAATGAATATAGATAATGACACAGAGACGAATGTAGCATAAATCATTAATACTAAACTACACACTACAAGAGATAAGGTAGATAACATCACTTCTAAAGTGTCAAATTCATTCTTTTATTATATTCAATACCTAAGATTAATCGCATGTTCTCTTAAAACGGAAACTATTCGAATATCACTTTATTATCAGATACATATTTCAGAATAATTCATATTTCAATACTATTTAAAAGTTCATGACTTTCCATGTCAAAGTCAATTAACAAATGGATTGACTCATGTATTTTCTGTCTAGTACACTAGTATACATTAAATATTTTATATTTTCGGTGAAAAATAAACTAGTAACATTTTAGTAGAGATAAGTATATATAATTGTTAAAAATAAGAAGTTAGTTATTTGCCTGGTTGTTTTTTCTCAAAACCAAAAATTGGTTACCTAACATGATTGTCTCGAAGAATATGTTTACGTTAGCTAAGTATATGATTTTTTTGGAAATTATTAAGATTGATGGTACCTAAATGCATCAAACACTCAAAAACTGATGTACTTCCTCTGTTTCATAATAGTTGTCATAGATTAAAAAGCAGTAAATACTCAATTTTATTTTATTTTTATGTTTTGGATTAGTTTACTTTATAATTAATTTATTATTTTTATTAATATTACTTTATCTTTTCCACCAATAGAGAATGGAAACATACATTAATTACAAACAAACATGTATTAATTACACACAAAAAATTAAATATTGTGAAACAAGAAAAAAAACTCAGAAAATCAACTATTAGAGCATGTACATCAGTAAACCCCTAAGAGGTTCACCAGAAAGAAGTTCATCAGAATATAATAATATTTTTTTTTTTGGTTTTAGGTTTTTTTTTTTAATTCGAAAATTATAATTTTTAACCAATCAGGATGATTTATTTTGGGATGATACCGTCTCTTCAGGTTCGTCGGGATGATACTGTCTCTTTAATATTAAGATCTTTTGTCTCAAAAACTGTGTCATGAACCTCTCTTGATCCCCTGATGTACATGCTCTTATAAAATAGAGGGAGTATTAATTAAACAAAGAAAATACATGTTCGAATGTAACAGAGAGTTATCATAATAATCGATGTCTATTGTTTTGGGTATAGGATTCTTAGACCATGTTCAATGATAGCAATTTTTAAAAAAGTGCTTAAGTATTAATTAATTATTAAATTTGAAATTATCTCCATTTTTTAACATATATCTGGTAAGCATCGCTGCTTAAAAAGCTTATCTAAGCATCGATGCTTAAATTCTTGAATTTTAATGATTTAATTTTTTTAAAAAATTACCTGCATTCCTAAGCATTTGCATTGAACATGCTTTTAGACTGCCCCGAAGCTAATACCGTAAGAGTTTATTATAGTGTGTAACGCAAGAATTGCCACGCGTGGGAGGAGAGAGAGGTTGCACGTTCGCATCGCAGCCGCCTGACAAAAATAAGTGAGGTTCTGTTAAAAGTTGGACATTAAATCAGGTGTTAGGGATGGGTCGCATTAATGTCACAAGTTGGAGTACTAAAAAGGACTGACGAAGACTAGCTTTATTTTTGTGCATTTTACAAGATATTGGTTTTCAAAAAGAGTATTATTTTAGACATGATCATAGGAATAATTTTTTCCTCAAATACTCATGCTATAGTCCACGTTTTACATTCATAATATACTTAACGTATTTGATAAGCTCAGAACCAAATAGATGTTAAGTTCCGTTAGTTAATACTTGCCATTAATCAATCTTGTAAGATGGAGTGCATTAACTAGAATCTACAAAATGAATCATTTAGAGACAAAGGACCACTCTAAAAATCAATCTATTTGAAACATTTGAGACAAATGAAGTATGTAATAAACATTGCTAAATTTTATTCAGTACGAGTTAGTATTTAAATTAAAAATTCATAAAATTAAACAATTTTAAACACGTCATATATAACATAGTTTAATATTATTGTATATTTCTTCGATATAAGCAACAAAACTAAAATCATCGAAATACTAATATGAAAATATTATCAGATAATTAAAGAAGATGAGTTAAATCAACTCTATATCCAGTGTGGACATGATATGAATAAGTTTTCAGAATAATATTATTTTTGGTGATCTACTAAAAATTCGAACAAAACCCATTAACAACTCTTCTTAAAACTTTTTGCTGTAAAAGAATTTGAACAAAACCTTTAAACAGTGTGATACGATCAGTTTTAAAAAACCAGTGTGATAAGATGCTTCGTTAGTCATCACATACTAAAACTGAAGTTAATCCATCAGAGACTTAATTTTAAACTATTATTTTTGAATTTTATAAAGATTAAAATACAAATAATGCACGTACGGCTACCCATAAACCCAGAAGAAGATTGTGACAGGTCCGATAATACGACACGATCGATATGTTTCTTAAACATCACTAAGACTCAATTAATATGTCAGTTTTTTTGGCTTTATAGGCACTTGTTTATATTTCGGGGATTTTTTTTTGTCCACCGAAGTA